AACATTTTTCTGACACTTGAGCTCAAGGAGAGGGATACTGGATCTAAGAAATCTCTGGGTGGGATGACAGACACAGCAGGTGCAAGGAGTCACCTTGGTCCTTTTCCGCCTATAGGTGTCTTTCTACAGCCTCAGCATATGTGTCTTTAGGTAGCTGAACCCCACCCTCATCTTGGGTTTCTCCCTACTGTAGGCTTAAATCTATAGCTGCAGTAGTGAAACCATGGTGATACATGAACAGTGTGGACGCCAAGGGCAGGTTGCCCCCAAATATGCCATTTTGACATATTGATTATTTTAAATAAAAGTTACTTAAGCAACAGCTGGTAGAAGGAAATTCAGATCCCCCTCTGTCCCCCTGAGAGCAGGAAACCGATCTCCTGTATTAAAAGTACCCTCCCTACGGGCACCTGAGTGACTCAGTCCACTGGGCGTCTGACTTCGGCTCAGGTCATGATCTCGCGGTCCATGAGTTTGGCCGCACGTTGGGCTCTGTGATGACAGCTCAGAGCCTGGAGCCTGTTTCAGATTCTGTGTCTCCCTCTCTCTCTGTCCCTCCCCCGCTAACGCTCTGTCCTTCTCTGTCTCTGAAAAATGAACAAACCTTAAAAAAAATTTTTTTTTAAGTACCCTCCCTGTACTAAGAAGTATAAGGAAATCCTTATCACCAGAGATAGGGACTTTAAAGGTGAGAAAGCTGTAAAAACAAACTTTGTTATTTTTTCCAATCTATTACCTCAGCCTGAATTCTGCTTACAAGTCTCTAAGGCTTCTGAACACCTGCTTTCTTTATCCTATCAGTCCCTCACAACCTTATTTTCTCACTCTAAAATGGACAGACACTGCCTGCCTTGATCATTTCTTTAGGTTTCAATCTCATTATTAGGCCCCCAATAGACTTAATGAAACTTTGAGTTTTTTACTTCTGTAAATCTGTTTTATGTAAATTTGATTCTCAGTCCAATGGAAGACTTGGAATGGTAGAGAAAGAATTGTCCCTTCCCAAAAGCAGAAAGAAGATAATTCTGTCTTATCTACTTTGCGGCTGTATATGTATATATATGTATCACCCTCTAACCTGTTTATTTTTTCTGAAAAAAAAGCACATGATGCTTTACCCTGGCATGTACCAGACTGCACATTCTCGGGAGCAAAAACACAAACAAAATTTTGCTCCATTTAATACCTTCTTGCCTCGATTTAGGACAGACTCAAAGGACACTTATTATCCTGGGTATGTCTCCTCTTTTCTGGAGTGCTTCAACAAACAGCAATAGGAAAGGACGTACCACGGAGAGGCTCCATCCAAACCACACCAGCTCAATGAGAAACCATCCGTCCATCTTTAAAGAGCCAACCCCTTACCTTCCGGATCTCTGGCATTGTAGAATTCGAATTCACAGTGGTTCATTCAGTCAATGTTTATAAACGTGCCAGGCACTTTTAAGGGTTCCCGAGGTTTTGCTTAGTTAAACCCATCACGCAAGGCTCCTTGTTCCTTGGACCCTACACTCTAGAGTCCAGACAGATGAGAAGTAAATAAACGTGAAAAAAATCAATGGTAATTAGGACAGTTACCATACAATTTAGTAGTCAGACAGTGACACTTCTGAGAATGAACTTATTAATTACATCAAAACAGTAGCCACAAGCTAGGACTGTCGCGGGCACACCAGGCAGTGTGGTGAGCTGGCGATGTGCTATGAAGACAGTAACCGGGTGATTAGATGGATGGCGCTGCTTTGGCAAGGATGTCCAGAAAGGTCTTTAGGGGAACAGACACGTGATCTGAAGTCTGAGTGACAAGATGGTGCCAGGCCTGTGAAGATGTGGGCCCTGGGAAGCCCAGGGCTTCCCAGGCAGCAGGAACAGCAAATGGGAAGGCTGTAAGCTGGGAAGGAACCGGTGGGCAGAATGAAGAGAGAGGCTGGTGTGGCGAGGGTGTGCTCAGCAAGGAGGAACTGAACACAGGAGGAAGACCAGGGCTGAGCACGTGGCCCTCGTAGACCAAGTGCTTCAGGAAGTCATTCAGCATGTGTGCAACTGTGGGGCAGAGGGTCAAGGTCTTTGCCTGGCTCATGAGAAATTCAAGGATCAGAGAGTGGGTGTAACTTTCTCAAGGTTGCATGAAGGAAGTGAAAATGTTGACTCTTGGCCCCCATGTCCGTCCTAAGTGCTGTTTCCAACACAACAAAGAGTGTTGGGCAATTTTCTTGGAAAATGTTTCTAAGTCTCCGTGTTCCTTTCTTTAAAATGTGTATAATAATAGAATCCATCTGATAAGGTTGTAAAGATAGAGATAAGGTAGAGAAGCATCTAACACAGTACCTATAACATAATAATAATAAACTTTCAATCCATGTGAGCTATCATAATTCTGGGGGTGCTGGTTTTTTTTTTTTTTAAGAGGAACCTTGGATTAATTCTACAACTACATATTAAATGCCTAATGCATCCACATCATGGCAGCTAGACCTATGAGTAACATGGAGGAATCAAACACATAATCTTTGTGCTTGAGAAGTTTACCAGCTCTTCTCAGAGATTTGTCAAGTGGAAAACAATTCCTAGCATGACAGCAGCAGAGGAAGGTGACAGAGTAGCTGTACATGCAAACATTGACAGCATCCCTGAGACGAGGCTCCTCTGGGGTGGGCTTCAGCCGGGCCACACCGGCAGCGACGAGCCAGGAAGACCAGAGGTGGAGGGCTCTCATTAGAATATTGACCCAGACAATACTCCTTCCTTGCAGCTGTCCACTGACAAGGACTTCAGAAAGCACCGGAACTGCGTGGCCTACCTAAGCCTGTTTTACAACTGAGGAGCTGTGACTGCGTTCACGCGGTCCTCCTGACCGCAGATCCAGGACTGAGGACAGAGTCGCTCTTCCCCCTGCACTGCTGTGCTCTCTCCTCTGCCAGCATGGGGCCCGGGGAGGGAGAGGGCTCATAACTACCGTGTGAGAGGAAAAAGACCGCTGCAGAGCTCTGTCTCCATGTGCTGGTTTGTCGTGTGCGTACGTACGTAGACGGGCCTGGGGGTTCCTGCCGAGTGTTCAGTGGGGTGGCTCCACTTTACCGACCTACTCGTGGGTCCCTGTCCTCACGCTCTCGTTCCCAGGTTCCAGTCTTATGTATTCTACCGCTAGCATTGGGAAGAAGGGCTGTTGGCCTCTACACATCAAGGA